GTGCGTCCGCTGTGTTTCCTCCCCTCGCGGCGAGGCCCGTGGGACGAGCACTGTTTGCTGCAGGAGCTGATCCCAAGCAGTGCATTTCTTGCACTGAGCACGCAGCAGGGGTTGGGTGCTCTGGGGAAGGCTGGCATGCAGCCATGCATTGGTTCGGGGGCAGAAGGGGGGCTGGAAAGGAGGGGCGGAGACAGGTGGAAGGGAAGGGCAGGTGGGCTTGGCCCCCGCTGCCCCCAGGGACGTACCATGGGGATGGTGGCGATGTTACTGTAGATCAGGCTGGTTGGCCATCTCCTCAGTCTCGGTAATGGGGGGCGCTGGCCTCCGGCTCCGCAGCCTGCAGGGAAATGGATCAGGACAGACACACGGGATGGGGGGAAGGAGGGGCAGCTCTGTTGGAAGGGGCAGAGAAGGCGGCATTGCTGGGGGAGGGGGAGTGCAGGGGACTGGGACAGGCCGGGGGAAGGAGGTGGCAGGGGATCTCAGTGGGGCAGCTGGGGAGGGGGTGAGGAGCATCAGACTCACCTGAAAGAAGGTGGAGGCAGAGCCCCTGGCTCCGCTCCCCGCCCAGCTCAGGGTGCTGACGGCCTCGTCCCTTTGGGCCCAGGAGCTGACCTGCAGGGCCCCCCTTGAGCTGTTCCCAGCCAGGAACTGCCCATCCACCTGCCACTGGAGCTGGGGCGGGGGCTGGGAACGCAGGGAGCAGGTGCAGGTGATGTTGGGCCCCCGGTGCTGGCAGGATGAGTTCTGGCCAGTCCCAGGGCGGGGGCTGTCTGGGGAGAGCAGGAGACACAGCAACAATAGTCAGAGAGATTCCCAAGGGCAGGGAGTCCTGCGCGTTAACCCTACTAATACCCTGTTGCAGGGAGTCCCGTGGATTAATCCCACTCACAGGGGCCCTGCAAGCAAACTTCAGAAATATCCAGTGGCAGAGAGTCCCATGGGTTCATCCCACTCATAGGGGGTCCTGCTGGTAAGCCTCGTTAATCACAAGTGGCAGGGAGTCCCACAGGTTACCCCCACTCACACTCAATGAGCAGCTGGAACGTCCCATAGTCCGAGCTCTCCTCACTCTGGGCCCGGCACCGGTACAGCCCCCCGTCCTGGGCCGTCACGTTGGGCAGCTCCAGCCACAGCGGATTCTCCCCCCCACGCGCGGGGGGCCCTGCCTTGGTCCCCCCGCTCCCAGCTCAGGTTAGCAGGGGAGCAGCTGGGGACGGAGCAGAGGAACCGCAGGGAGTCGCCCACCTGGGCCGAGAGCTGGGAGCCGTTTGCCACCACGGTGCTAGGGTCTGGGAACAGAATAACACAGAGCCACTCGCACCCCGAACCAGCCAGGCCCTGCCCGGACCTGGATCAGAGCCGGCGCCCCGTGAAGGGGACAGGCCCTAGGTCCCAATCTCCAACCCAGTGGTACCTGGGAACTGCTGGGGGCCGCTGCTGTTAGCTCGAGACACGGAGATTTGCGGAGACCTCAGTGGGGCTGAAAAACCACAGCCACGTGTTAGATTGGAGAGAGCCCCCCGCTAACCACCCGCCCCACTCCCTGCAGCTCAGAGCCCCCCACCCTGCTACTCTCCCTGCCCTGATCCCTACAGCCTAGCACCCGGCATTGACCCCCTCATCACACTCCCTGCAGCCCAGCGCCCCCCACTCATCCCCCGCGCCCTGCAGCCCACAGCCCCCCATTCACTGGCCACGCTCATCCCTGCAGCCAAACGCCCCCCACTGACCTCCCACCGCAATCTTTACAGAACCACTCCCC